TTTCGCGATATTCTCATTGTAGCAATTTACATAAAATGCTACCGCAACACGTACCACATAAACACAACAACAGCAACAACCTTCGTTCAGTTTATTTTACGCTTCTTTTTTCTCTCGTGTAGATGTGCTTTTGCACCCGCGCACGTTTTCAAATGAAAATGTCTCCCTTTGGCTGCTGGCGAGCGAATGTTGGCGGTCTCATTTTTGTTTCGTTTTTTCGATTTTATTAAATGTGAACGCACGTAAGTCACATCGAAACGAAAGAATGTAAAAGCATGCAAATGGCCATTAAACAAACAGCAAAAATTTCAACGAAAGACGAGAGAAGAAGAAGAAGAAGAAGAAGAAGAAGAAAAAAGTCATTCTTTTTTCAACGAGCCAGTAGCGCACCGTGTCTTACATTCTATACAACAAAAACAAATGCAAAAGTATCTAAAATGAATCGTAGCATATTCTATGTTTTGGTAGCGAACGAACGGGCGCTCATTCGACTGACACACAGCTACAATAACAATAACAACGAATAATATAACAGCCAAAAATTATAATTTAATGGACTTTAATGCTGTTTTTACTTGGCAATACCAAACACACAACACGAAGCAGAAAGCACATAACAACAACAAAAACATACACACACATACCGAGAGTCACACTGATTCTATACCTTTATAAAACGGAGAATTTTATTATGTTTAATGTATTCAACTTTGGTCTTTGTCAATTTTCATTTCGCTTGAAATCGTCATCCGCTCATCCCGCTATCTTGTACCCTAGCTTGTACCAGAGACTATTTTTAATATTTTGTGTTTTTCCTTTGGCCTTTATCCTAAAAACCAATGAAACCATTTTCCCAACAAATCGATTGGATGATGGTATTTCAAATCTAGTTCATAAATGATGGCATTTAATTTAGAAATTAATTCCCTATTGTGAGCATCTGTAAATGTGCATTTGTCTGGGGTTCATTTCCTTCCGCAATCTAAAATCCGACTTGATGTTTGAGAATGTGATTAGACGCCCGGGAAGAGACTGAAAACAGATCAATTCAACATTGCCATAAATTGGAATCCGTGACGAATGGCGGAAAAATAGGGAGGAACACACAGTCCAAAACTTGAAAATTGAGATCAAGTTTTTGGTGCTATCAATGAAACATCAACAAAGTTTATTAATGTAATTTCAGTTTTTAAATACTTTATGGGTTTGTCGGCAGCAAAACAGTTAATTCAGTAAGATCATGCACGAGCTACGAACACCATTAAAACGTGAACTTCTATTCGGGATCTGATTACTTCTCTCTTTTCTGTTTGCATTTCGATACATTTGGTTGAGAGTTAATTCGCTGCTATGATGAGATGCGCACAATAAAACAAAAAAAAAACATCAAACAAGAAAATTTGCGAAAATCAAAGAGATAATCATTTGCAACGTCTTCATCTATACCATTTCTCTCTTTCTTTCCGTTTTTCTTTTTTTCTTCGTTGCCGTATTCATCAGCATTTTCATTCAGATGCGTTCGCAAACACTCTGGATTCCATTACGACTTTCACTTTCACATTTTATCACAAAACGGACGGTTGAATGAAGTGAACCAAATACAAATCGGTCACCAAAAAAGGCGGAAGTACCAACACAATCTTAACAAAGTGGATGTGTACTAATGCCTCACAGTTGAGCCCATTGTTTTATGAACTTTCAAAGTTTTCGATACTAATGGATTTTCCGGCTATTACGAGCATCGATTCGACTCATTTTCATGTTGGCCCACTTTCTACAGTTAACTTCAAGCTTAACAGGGATTAGCCAATGTTAATCAAATAATGGGTGTTTGTTTAATCTCTTCAAAATCTTCAATCGGTTATTATTATCATAAATTTTGACGAGAAAATCTAATGCTATACTCACTTTAACACAGCCAATCATTGTAGTCTCGAATACATACTAATTTTGCCTTGCAGTGGGTGCAGTGATTTTCAAGATTGGAAATTGAATTTTATGAAATCGACGCTACGAAGAAAAAAAAATCATTTGCTTCGTTCGAGTAAAACGAAAACATTTGGCAAATTGATTTAAACCGTGTAACCTGCAGCTAAAACACACGCACTGAACAATGAAAAATTCCATTGTTCACATTTCCAGCGATATTTGATCAAAGTGTTTCTTTTTTGCGAATCGACATTACGACCGAATGTCGGTTTCATTGAACTGTTCGAAAGGTTCACGTTTTTATTCACAATTCATTAGAAGAAAACTCAAGCGCATAATGAATGGCATGACTTATTCGAAAATGAGACGCTGTAAAGAAAAAAAAACAGAACCCATCGGCAGTATATATATCTAGGACAATGGCAACGGTGGCGAATGGCATATTACAAAATTACAATAAACAACTCGTGAAACAATTCTTCCGAAGCAAATTTTATGGTTTGGCATAATTGAAGTCGTTATGTTTGAAAAATATTAACTGCATACCAATGAATACGGTGCGCATTTATTTGTATCAATTCAAATGGGCAGGCTGGGTGGCAGCAAAATAAAGAGGCCCGAATGGCAATGGGTCTTGACGTTTATACTGGATCCATTTCAATTTGTTCGGCTCATTTTTGAATTGTCTAACAACAAGAAAATGAAATGCATTAAATGTTTTGCGTCACTTAGTATCGAAGGAGAGAGAGAGAGAGAGAGAGAGAGAGAGAGAGAGAGAGAGAGAATTCGACTGTGTAACGGAAATAAAGGACAAGAATTCAATAAACAAAAGGAAAAAGTGTGTATGTGTGTGTGAGAGAGAAAGGGAATGTAAAATATCGAGTGAAGGAGTGCAGAAGTGTTGCGCCCGTAAAAAAGGATAAACGGCGCGTCACGCATTGAATGAAACAGTGTGAATGGTTGGAAATGAATATAATTTATTCAAATTCTCTCATTTAATTTGTTCGGACTTTGGAAATATTTACTTCATATTTCATTGGTTTGAATTTGGTGTTTGAAGTGAAAGCAACCCCTTTATATTGCATAACACATAGCTTTAAGTTGAGTTTTATTTGAACATTTCACCGAAAAGCGAGCATTTTTCCATCGAGACTTTGTTAGACTATTTGATAACGATTTCATAAATGTGTGTGTGTGCGACTGTGCGTATTTATTGCACATAATTGTTTTCTTTTTTGCTTGTTTTGTTTTTCTCTCTTATTTGAGGGGAGAGTGTGAGAAACAGAAGAAAGAATCTAAAACGAACGTTTAGATCCGTATAACCGGCATCAACCTTATTCAATTAAATAAATGGTAACGTTTATCCAAATGCGTATCGCATTTGCAAAATACAATTCAACTCTCTAATTATGTGCGTCTTGTGTTGTTTTGTTTCGCTTTCTTTTATTCTACAACACAGTCGATGTTGCTGTGAGGTAGTTTATAAACTAAAACCAAAAAGGTAGAAAAAATGGTTTCAGCGCGTCTAGACTGCTTCGATTATGCGAGTGACAACCGAGTTTAGAAGGAGAGGAAAAAAATGCACCGAGAGAAAATAACACGGTTACATTTAGCTTCGTGTAAAATGAGAAGAAAAAAACACACACACAAATATACGGATCACATCGTGAGTATTTTTAGTAAAATTGCTACGTGCTTACAATTTGCGCGTTTTTCGCTTTGTCATGGCTCGGGTTTTTTTATGCTCTTCACATTTTTTTTTATTCACTGTGAAATGTCTGCAATTGCATTTTAAGTGCGTGTGAGTGCATTTCGTGTGTCAAATGGAAAGAGAATGAGAACGACAGCGAGCGAGAGAGAAATTCAGTTTTTTTTATATTTGTTGCATTGACGTTTGTCTATGGACCCGCATTTGTTAGTTCATTCACATGAGTTTAGCTGGTGATTTTGCAGCTTCTATTTTCCTCTCTTTACTATTTCGCCTTGTCTACTGTTTGCGTTTGATTCGCACACGATAGGGTACCATTTGTTATTTGTCAACAAATGACTGGCTTCTCATCTAGTTAAGGCAAACCAACAAAATGACAGCTTTAAAAAAGAAAGATAAACAAACAACAGCAAAACAATTGCCGGCAATTAAATGACACTTTACGATCGCAAACATGCGATTATTTGACGACTTTCTCATTTTAAATCGGTGACTTGTTGTGCTCACCAGCATTAACGTGACGCGTGTGCATTTCTTTTTTGACAAGTTTATTATATCACCAATCCAAAGCTTCACCATTACTTTCTACATCATGCCGCAATAGAGACGATAAAATAGAAAACCATCCATAAAATTGGTCGTTTTTTTTTGAATGCACAAAAGAAGATGAAAGATATGCATTCGACAACAAAAAATATGACCTGCGAGTTGAATGGAAAAGACGAGAGATTTAATGTTTAGAACATACAAGTTCATGCTCTATGCTCCACAAACGATATCGAATTTTCTCCTTTAGATGACGAAGCATATCAGCACGAGTTAAGATTTGTGATATGAAAGAAATAAACGTTAAAATGAATCGATATATAAACCTTTCGAGAGAAAAACTTGAGGCAATGCGTTATTTCGTTACATTTAAATGAATTGAAAATCTCGTCGACACAAAACAAAACGCTTTGTTTTATTTTTCACAGATTCAAAGGCAATTGAACTTGTTCACCTTGAGTTTTGATTGGAAATTTAACCGAAAATAATGCATTCTCTACGATTTCTCTTTCATTAGCTTGTCAATAATCGCGTAACCATTAATTGAAATTTAACCATTTACAGTTGACTGTTTTAATGACAGCACGGCAACACATAGCTCTCATAAGATTACAATCCAAACACAAGCTAGATCACACACATACACATATGTGGCCTCGTCAAAATCAACAACGTCTGTGCATTTGACGTTTCGAATTTCAAAAATCTTAAAATATTTCGATCAATTTTTCATTCGCTGTTTACATCATCAAAAAAAAACCTTGCGGCATCATGCGGATAAAACATATATATACCAAATAAAGAAAAAAAAACTCACTTGTTATTTGAATCCTTTCGAGTGTGTCTTCCTTGTAATAAAGCGTGAATTGAATTACGCGCAAACGGCAGTCGTCTACAAATTTGCCAGTGCCCTGAAAATGAACAAGACAGTATAAAATAATGAAAAAAAAAGAAGAAAACCAGTGAAAAGGAGCCTAAAGAGAATGAATGCGTGCAATATATCACATTAAATATAAAAAAATTATTTAACATTCTAAGTACATGACACAGCATATGTGCGCGCACACCACACTAATGTTAAACAGACATGCGGTGAACGTATGCCAATGTATCACACGCACATAAAATATTTTTGGAATATAAATGAGCCTGACAATTAAAACGAAGAGAGTGCTTCTTTTCGACAACATTACTGACGACAACAATACATAATGTCGGATTTTTTTGTTGTGTGGATATTTTGCTTTGAAGTTGAATGTGCGAACGAGAAAATTGAGATTCCGAACAAAATAATGTGTGTGTGTTTCTTTAAAGATGAAGTTCACAATATACTCGAAACGTTTTTATTTCCTCGCAAAAAATATATAAAATTCCAGATTGTTCTTCGTTTTTCATACTTTCTTCGGAATTGATCATTTGACGCTGAAAACACACCACAACTGTCAGAATTCCAACAAAAATCGATTCATTTTTAGTTAGATAGTTGAACTATTCAATGAACTACAATGAATGACAAATTCTCTCAAATGGTGCTGTCGCTTCGACGTTTTGGTCGAGAATAAAGTTAGAAGACAAAACATTCATGAACATGATAATATAATTCAATCATACATATCTATGCTAGCAAAAAAAAACTATCCCAAATATTTATTGATGTGGTTTATGGCTATTTAGCGGGATCAAAGCAAAAATTTTGGGTTCCGTTCAAAATTGCATTCAATTGGCCCGCGTGTAAATTTAATGATGGATCAATTTTCAACCAAATCGACTGATTATGATTGATAGTTTTCAACATAAAAAGGTCTACTAATCAACGAAAATCTCTAGTAACTACTTCTCTTTAACTATTTTCAGTTGATTAATTTGCGGCAATCGATTACTTTTCAAGTTTTTATACATAACCAAAGCGGTTGGTCAGTTGGTTTTTTTTTTTTCACAAGGGCCGTCGCCAATAAATGGCAAAAAATGCTTCAAATAGTGTTTGAAATGCAAAACTGTGTTGATTGATAGATAATGGCTTTTATGATATGAAACGGCCGGGGCCGTCGTTTGCTCTTTCATTGATTGTTTGCAGGTGTCTTCTATTTATATCATTGTACATATGTTCAATTTTTTTTTCTTGTGCAAAAAAGGCAAATTGCTTTCAGTAGCAGATATCAGTACATGTGTACTAAATCGAAAAATAATGAGTGAAAAATGGAAGAGGCACTTCCTCGGCAATTGAAAAACGATTAACTAAAATGGCCATTTAATGAGCTGACGGTTATGTTGAATGGGGCGTGTCATTGCATCTATTTTTGCACAAAAATAAAAACAACAAACATTAATATGTTTCCGTGTAATGACCGCTAAATCGTTCGATAATAAACAGGTTTGCCGAGTAAACAAATAAATTTCAGATGAATGATAATTGAAATAAGCATTCGGATTTTGTTGCATTCTTTCTTTTTATTCATTTTATATTTCGCTTTCGCGCCGGAAAACGTGCATATTGAACCAATTGCATTATCGTTCGATCGCATTTTTTTTAATTGAACGTTTCGAATCTGTGCCATCACAAAATCTAATATCCCGGTTCGGTAATATTGAAAAAAAAAGAATCTGTCTATTTGCTTATTACAGATGAAGCGATAAGCAGAGCGATTTTTCTGAACTTTTACTATTTCTTTCAATAGAGAAGAAGAAAAACCGAAGAGAAAAGCGCAATCGAAGAGTTACTCGATCAAAGGAGAACCAATTACGTTCGAACGAAGAATAATTATATGCCATAATTTTTATGAGTACATTGTTTGTTTTTCACATTCGTTCTCTTTTTCAATGCTCTTTTGCTTCGAAAAAATACCGAAAGACTTTTAAATCCCATTCCATAAACTGGCAAAATTAATAGTAAATCTTATTTGATGCGCGTTTGTGCACGATATCGCGCTATTTTCAATGTGCAATGCATGGTGCTCACGCCAACGATAGAAATAACGACAACAACAGCGACAGTAGATAAAAAAAGAGCTGCGGTCGGGAATTGCAATTGCTGCAATCAAAAGCATGAAGCATGTTCAGATGCAATAAGAATCATATTTACCGCTTGTCGTTAAATAATTTATGGTCGAGCTATATCTGTAGATCGCACACACACACACAAAATAGACGAAACGTAACGGATTCACAAAATGCTGAAATCACCATGTGACGCAATCAAAATGGAATATGAATCTCTTGTTCAATTTTCCATTGCTTGAATTTTAACAGCGGTACTGGTAGCAATACTATAGCGCCCAACTCTCTCGCACTTTCTCATGAAGTGTTCGAGACATTTGAGATAAACTAAATAAGTTAATGTACGGTAATTAATTATCCATGGCTCTTATCTATCTGTCTCTGTTTCTTTTCTGCAAATGTAAAATGAATGTTTACTTTAGCGACAACGGCATCGATGACGGTGCACGGTCGTCGTTCACGTTGTCATTATTATAGAAAAGGGGGAGAGTTCCAACCCATTATGATTTGAAATAACTGGCACTTTTGAATGAAACACGCTTTATAAATAACAATACAATATGAGGCGGCGGAGATCGAATAAGAAATATATGGAAATATACTGCCAAATGTATTGGAAGTAATGCTTGATGTTTCGATGTATAAACAAGTGGAATTCAAAATATTTCTAACCAACCAGGTGTCCGCAGAAAAACTAATCAATTTAAACAAAATTGTATGATTTGAACTCGAGTCATATCGACGTTTGTCTAAAAAACTCATGAAAATACACAAAACATGCGGTAGTTTGCTGTACTAGTGCTAATATTCAGAAGGTCGATCAAATTAAATTCAGATTCTTAGGAAAGACCTCATTTCCAAGGAGAATAATTTTTCTGGTTGAATTTTTCAAAAAGAAAAATAAGCTATCCATCGATTGCACTCAGGAATCTGAAAAAATTGGTTTCAAATGTCTAACCTTACTTAATTTATGCATGTCACAAACAAACTGAAAACGATTTTAAATCAGATCAGTCTTATGATACATCAAGCAAAATACCTACTCAAGTGAAACAAGTGTCCAACCGCTGTTTGTATGGTTTCGAATTAAAAATAATAATAATAAAAACAACACCAACAACTCGATCATTTAGCGAATCGAGTGAGCAATTCAAGTCGTGATTTTTTATTTCTGTACAAAAGAAAAACAAAAATAACATGACGAATATGAATTGAAAACGGGTTCGTATTGCATGAGAAAATGTACAATATTGTGAATAACACTGGTTTTTTTTTGTTATTTTCTTGGCGGGAATTCGCTATTAATACCGGACGTTTCAAATGATGTACGGGTCCCGTACTACCTGCGCATATCATTAATAAATCTCGTGATTTTGCTGAATGAAAGAGAAAAAAAAAGCAATTGAGATACACATGTGGTATTTGTGTGCTCTGCTTGCGCGGACCGATCTTGCATGTCATAAAAATGCCAATTCCAAAGACGATTTCTCTTCTCCACCTTGGGACACAACGCGTAAAATAAGACAAAGGGACAGCGAGAAGGAGAGAGAGAGAGAAAAATGACAGAATAGAAGAGCACTAATAACCGTTTGTAATGTATCGTGGTCAAAACGAAATCGAATCGTGAACTTAACATGAAATCGTGGTCAGATGTGTGCTGTTGCTGTTGTTTTTATTGTTATAGCTGTGCATTCGTGTCCATTGCATAAATCAGCATGATGCTATGAAAATAGATTGGATGTGTCGGTTCGGGTTAACAGCCTCGCCATCATTTTGATACTGGTATGTTGAAAAATTGCTGCTGTAAATTTTGATGATAATTAATAATTTATTTCGTTTAAGTTTTTGTTATTCGTTCTCATCCTAACCCGTTCTTGAAATATGCGCATCATGTTGATGATGAGAAATGACTTACTTGCCTATTCGAAACGATAATGGGCCAGAATATGAAAAATATGTAAAGTAAACATTTGAGACACAACAATGAAGCACTTTTCAAATAAACCGGTTAAAGTAAAGAGCACTTTATCGATGGCGTTAGGAACACAAACGTACAAAGCATCTCTCTCTCTAACTCTTTCTTTATCTCTCTGCATGCATTCGAATTGAGTGAGTCTCAGTGAAAGATGTAGATTTCTGTTGTTATTTCGACTGCTGTTCATTTTGATTTAGATCTCCGGTTTGAAGTGGTTTTCCTCACTGCATGCGCCCATTGTATCCTCAATGTATTCACCTTTTTTTGCATCCACACTGCATTCCATTTTGGATGACTAAATGCGTGCGGATGCACTGGAATGAATTTGAAAATGAAAAACAATGACAGCAATTGCAAAATTTGGCAGTCAACATCGTTATTCGAATTGGATTGTACAATTGCATATGGATAACGAACACTACCGTATGCATATGAGGATTCCAATTGCTTTGTATTCCAAAGGTATACCAAAATGAAAACAATTATTATAGACCAGCATCCACTTCATTTTTGGTTATGTTTTATTCCGTTTTGAAGAATGTGAAAAACCGAAACACACAACTCTATAATCATCAATTGGATTTTTTTTTCTTCTCAAAATGGATTGAATCAGTTTTTGTCAATAAAATATACAATGGCAAACTGAAGTACCATTAATAAACTGATTTTTTTTTTATATTGTTGTGATTGAAGTGTGTTTTGTGCGGTTTGGCTGATTTTTTTTATTGTATGGTCATATATGAATTGATTCACATTAATATTTCTTCATCATCATCTTCTGCATCATTTTATATTAATATCTTCAGTATACGCGATTTTGTTAATTTTTTCAGCCTGCATAGTTCGTTTCTTCGAGTACTACAAATCTGGTGCAAGCACATTGGCCACGGACACATAGGTAGAAAAATGCGCTGACTTTTATACAATTGAATTGATTTGAAT